AACATCAGTTTTAATTGTTATTGTTTATTTACATACATTCACCATTTTTTTTAAATAAAAAATCTCACTGTTTCTCCAAATTTTTCCCACTTTATATCCAATTTAATGCAACAATTTATGAACTGCTTTAATCATATGAATAGCAAACATGATTCAGCGGTTGACTATTTTGCAATATTGTCTTATTTAATAGTGTGTTTGTATAACAATCATGATGATAAATCATGTATAGAAATAATTATGTCCAAGTTTATTTGTGTCCATCAACATTTTTCTTTATGTCAGCATTTCTTTGTATAACGGAAATGCTCAATAAATTTAAAATTACTGCTACAAAAATTATTTCAGCAATTAAATAAAATTCACCATTCTTGATATTTGGATTTAAAAAATTCAAAATAAGTAATTTCGACCCTAATCAGCTACAATAAATTATGTAAAAATTACAAAATTTAATATAATTCATCACCTCACATTACGTTCACAATCCAAAAATTTGAAGTTGACTATTTTATACGCGTGCATGTTTATTTAACAAAAAATAAAGCATGAATAGTAAATTTTTTTTAGCTAGGTATATAATCCTACTCAACCCACTTTGTGTGTTTCTCATCCATCGATCGAGACCATTTTTATCATCTAATAAAAATGTCACTTTATTTCATTAAAAATAAATATAAAAATATAAAAAATTCACACATATCACCTCAACAGTCACAATGGTCGGCCAATTGGAGAAAGTCAATCCGTGAATTATGATTCCTCTTCCATTTTCAAATTGCTTTGTGGGATTTATTACAAAGATTCGCATCCATCACGATTATTTTTTTAATTAAAAATAAAACTTTATTTATTCTACTAACATGTCATTGTATTTGATATTTAATTATGACATCATCCTAACATATGGAGGATTATTTATTAAATTAAATGAATTTTGGAAGTAGGGTTTTGTGGAAGGAATGTTGCGTGACAGTCTTTATTTAAATTTGCTATTTGCCTGGGCTAAAACTAATGGGCGTTGACTTTTGACTAATCAAAAGATGAAGGTTTGTGACCTAAAGATGCTCTGAGCCTCTGAAAAGTATTAGGCTGAATTGAAATTTTGATTCTAATAGGTTATGAAGTAACAATTGAAGTTGTAATTTAAAAATTTTGCTGCAATTTCAATCACTTGACCATTAAAATACTCAATCTTGACAGTCAAACATTAAAATACTCAATCTTGACAGTCAAAAATTAACTGCAATAACAGCAAAATTTAAAATTGCAGGACTTAAATTGTTAATCACAACTATGTCAAAATATAAATTAGAATTTTCAACGTCTAAATGACTTAAATTACAATAAAATTTAAATTACATGACTTAAAATACTATACATCACTTAAGTGAGACTTAAATTGCTACCTTCATAACATAATATAATAAGACCAAAATTACAATTTAGCCAAAATGTTATTTATACCTGTGCTCTCACCAGCATCCAGGGCCCCCATCTTAAAATTTACATTTTGGAAAAAATTATATTTAAAAAAGAAAATGACAAACCCAAAATGGCATGCATACCCGTCATATACTTTTGAATGAAAATAAGTATTTGTGCTATAAAATCTCATATTTTTGCTTATATTGTTTTTATAGTACGAATACTTCATTTTGAAGTGTGTATATCTACAGAAAAATATAGTTTTCTGACAGGTAGATTTGCCTAACACAACTATAAAAACGTTCATAGTTACCATCCACACCATGATAAGCTTNAAAAAAAAAAAAAAAAATGGTAACACAAATTGCATGATCCAAACCTGTCTCTGAACAAATACAAAACTAATCTAAAAAAGAAAGATCATCTTTGCATTTCACTTCACTGGATCAAAATTCAGCTTCTCATTGAAAAGCTGAGGATGGATCATGATTTGAATGACTTTTTAACCAATTCATAACAAAAAAAATTTAGAGCAAATCAGTACACGAGGAGTCGAGATGCACTGGCCTTTTGAGTTTTACACAGGCTGCAAGATTGCTCCTCGACTAGAGCCGGGTGGGCCCCACATGCCCATTTTCTTCCGACTTGAAATGGAAAAATATAGAAAATGGGCTGCTGAAAATTTGTTCTTTTCTTGCCCTCCCAACCCAAATGCAGCAATTTCTATAGCTCTTCTTTAAGGGTGTTCCGAGCTGAGTTAATTAGATCAGTTTAATCATCATCTGCAGGTTGAAAAAAAACAATGTAAAGGCGATCAACAATTGAGAAAAGGTCGAAAAAACTTTTAGAAATCTGCTTTTAGAAACAAAGTGATTTGTTCCGACATAAGCAAAAAATATGCAAGAAATTAGATGTCGCTAGCTAGCAGTTGAAAAAGATGATTAAAATAAATTTTAAAAAAATGGAGGATTAGAATGTCAAAATAGCTCTCTCTCCTTTATTTACAGAAATATCAAAAAGAAAGCACTGTTCCAAAATCAGGAGCACATTCCTCTTAAAGGTAAAAAGTGAGATTTTTTTTTTTCCATTTATTTTTGGTTCAAAAGTGAATAATTGCTTTTTTCCAAATAAGTAATAACCTCATGTTTTAAGAGAAATCAACAATAATTA